AAATACCTTAGAAGCCTCGGGTAAGTGCTTAATAGCAGTTTCAACACCCACGACGATTTCCTCCAAAGCGCTACCAGAGTTGGGCAATGCATACTTTAAACCTTTGTTTAATAAACTGAGCTCTTGTTTATCAAAAGTCTGCGAAGAAAGATTTTCCACTATGTTTATGTCTCTTTGGAAAACATGTTTGTTTTTTGAGCTTTTTAATTTTTTAAACTTATTATTCAAAATGGACATTTTCTTAACAAATTTTGAATTGATAACCACAAACATATTTCTCTGAAAGAGACACCAACATTCATACTCTACATTAGTTAGCTTATAAGTCAGTTTTTTGTAAAGTCCATAGGCTTCAATTTCAAGCATACTTCGTTTACTATACAGGAATTTGATTTCTAAATAAAGCCATTTTTCTTTTGCAATTTTCTCTACCTTATCACTAACGTTACTTTTTGGAATATCAACTTTAATAAAACTAGGATAAACTGAATTGGCTTTGCATGATTTAAGAAACCAAATATCTGCTCCTAATAACCGAATCTTTTTTCAACATTTTTTAAATTTTTTGACGCAACTATCAACTTTATGGGAAAATTTCACAGGACATTTTTTGTAGAGCTTTTCATTCTCTATAATTCTTGTCGATATAAGTTATCTTGATAAAAGGTTTTGATATTTTGTACAGGTCGTAAGTTATTTGCATTAAACTGAAATTGTTTAATAAAATATTATAATTACGATAATATTTGTACACGAATAATTACGAATATTAAAAAAAGAATATTTTGTTATATCAATCTTTTACATTTAATAAGATATCACCCTGATCATGGATCGTAACTAATACAATATGCACAGGGGTTGTGCAAAAAATAATAATTTATACGATACTGAATAATAAACGTCTTTAAGTGTATAATGTTATGTAAATAAAGTGTGCATTTTATCGCAAGTATTCTATGGGTAGTAGTAAAATATAGTAATAATATGGTAATTTTATTTAATAATGTGCATAAGTTACAAAGGTCACTTTCAAGGCGGAGAAAACAAGGCCAAATACATAAAGATATTAGGGTAAGTATGTATTACTATTATTAGTAATTTACTAATTTTAGTGCATATGTATTTGTGTAAAGAAGTTATTTATTTCAGAATTTCTCTATATCACTGAGCTAATTGCCAGGACATACCTGTATATTATATTAAGTATTTGATAAAATGAGTTGAATATTATGTTGTTATGTAACCACTTCATATAACAAGAAAATACTTATTAACTCTATTCTAATCATATTAATTATTGTTTAGTATAATAGAGCAAACAATTAAAAAATTCGAATATATTTCAATTATTTTATAATATTCACATAGACCAGAATTTTATTAATTTCAATGTAAAATGTAATTAACTAGAAATTAGTTATATAAATTAAAATAATTAAAATTCTTGCACAACCTATTAAGTTTATATTGTTTTCAAGTTTTTATCATTAATGTGTACTAAATAAATACAATACAAACCAAACCAAACTATATAAATATCTATTTTTCAATTATTTAATACTATAAAACAAAGGTAATTATTATTTCATACCTTTGTATACAAATTGTTTACTGTATGTTGCAGTGTTTAAAATTGTTATTATTTGCGGAAACCTTCATCTATATATCTATCTAAAGATCTCTTTTAAATATGCCAGATAAGACACGTTATAGAGGTTATCTAATAAACATTAAATTGATGGCACACTATAGTTCCATCTTCTCGTCGATGTCGGTTATGACACGAACAGCAGGAAACAGTCAAGATAAAATACCGCTATTTATAAATAATTTATAAAAACCATAGAAGCTAACAATTAAAATGAAGCACAGTTGCCAAATGCATCATTTTGTAAAATATAATTAGATAAATCCATGCTGAAATGGTACAAAACGATCGCTGTCCTTTCCATTTTTGATAAAGTTCTGCTAATAATGAAAAAAATCCCGTTTTTTCTTCAGATCTATAAGAACTTAGGAAGGAGCTTATTACAAATCTGGCAATATTATTCCCCGATCCTGTTTTTAGAAACATTTTTTTAGAAATATCTACTTTCTGTAGAAATATTTTTTATTAAAATATGAGCAATTTAAATATGTAATAATTGACGCGATCAAGCATTTTGTTTAATTTCTCTGTTTGATACTTTGAATAAAAAGATTAAGGACTTAAATTTCGGTTTTTCAGTGCCGTTCTAATTTTATTCAAAACGTGTAAAAATATGATGTAGGGTAGACTCAATAATTTGTTGTTTTACTTTACGTTGTTAAATGCTGGTAGTTCTTAAAATTGTTCTAAAAATATACAATTCTAATAAAAATAGATAAGTTATAATAATTATTTATTAACACAAACATCCGATACGCTACTGAAGCAGGTAAGTCAAATTGACGTATCTAAATTCTTTGACATTTAATCTTTCACAAGTAGTAAAAGCAAAAATGCAAGAAAAAATATATAATTAGTTAATTTTAAGTGAATATATTATACAGTCACTTACTAGCGAAAAGTGATTCCATTATTTTTCTCCATTTTTGACCGAGATCTACTGCACGCTACACAACCAACTATTTTACAATCTTTTTCGATAAAACGCAATAGCGTCACTGTTAATTTAAGTTCTGCTACAATTTCCTTCTAGATTTACTATTTTTAAACATCATTAGTAGAACAAATAATAAATAACATAAAATAAGCTCAGTAAAGACCGACAAATCCACAAAATTTTAAATCAAATTCAAAAGTGTCAAATGAATCATCAAACAGAACTGTCAAGGATCCCCACTCTAGGACCCTTGCTCGGTCTACCCATAGATAAAGGAAATAAATTTAGATTGGAATGCTCATCAAAATATATGCCCGTCCTTTTGTTTTGGGTCGCGACCGTTGTATGCGATCTGGCGCTGCTATAGCAGTTGCTAAGAACAACCGCAAACAATAACAGAAATAATTTTTTCTTGTCAAAGTCAGAATCTTCAAAAATTATAAAATCATGATAAAATCTTTCAAAATTTAAACCGCCCTCATTGAAAAAAATATCTAAAGCGTCCATTCTCAAAGTAATTATTGCTATTTTGTAAGTTTAATTTAAATTTTATTTACTCAAACCCGTGATAATTGTGAAAAAGTGGCATTAAAAATTTAAAAAGCTGTGTTGTGGACTGTGAACTGCAAAAACCATCGTGGATCGTGGCATAACGTCGGTTTCCAATGTTTCATAGGTACCTATTTCATACGTGTCCTTCTGTACACACTAGTGTTGTAAATGGAAATATTGGAAATTTCCAAACGTGTCTCGGAAATATTGGAAATATTGGGAATATTGGAAATATTTTTAAAAATACTTAAATCTTGTCATTAACGATTCAAACCCGATGTTTATTAATATATCTTTCATCTTTTGTAACCCTATAAACATTAAACTTACTATAGAACAGTTTTACAAACATATAATATGGTGAATATATCCAGTTTGAGGATTCACCTACGTATTTGCAACCTCGCATTTCTACTGGGAAGTCCCGAGCTTGTAGGTGGTAGCGTAGGGGAATCCCTGATCGACATTCATTTTGCTGTAAAAGCATTTTGTGATATTAGAAGGGTAATTCAGAATAATCTTGCATTGTCCTCACTTGACGACAAAGAAAAATTCGAATTGTTGGAGTTTGTTGACAAAAGAGAAAAATTTGCTATTAAACCCATCTATTACGCTGCAGAATTACTAAATCCAAAATCACAAGGTTCTGAACTTGATGAAACCCAAATTCTTTCTGCCCTAGAATGCATACTTAATATATCAAAAAATAAACTCAATATAAAGGAGCAAGAAATAATAGATGAAATAGCAGATTACCGTTGTAGAAGTGGCACGTTATTTGGAAATAACTTCATATGGAAAAGTAGTTTTGATAACCCAGTCTCCTGGTGGAAAGGACTGTGTTCTTCATCTTCATTATCACAAGTAGCTTCACGAATGTTGATGATGCCAGCATCTTCGGCTGCCACGGAACGCAGTTTTAGCAGTTAGTTAGTTTTTTTTTTTTTATAGTCATATTCATTCAAAAAAGAGAAACAGGCTTACTAATGATAGAGCCGCTAAGCTACTCTATGTATCCCACAATGAAAACTTGGAAGAAAATAGGAAACGGCAATAGATCAATTTTTATTTCCGATACTATGGAAAATTTTGAGGAAGTAGACTGGCAAGAAGATGTTATTGAGTGTGATGCTGATGACAGCGATGAAAATATGCCTCTTGCTCGACTAGTGTATCAAAAATATATTTTTTTTTGTACAAATTTAACCTTAATTTATTTTTTAATTTGAAGAATAACTCATTTTGTGTTTTGCGATGTTTTGTTATGATTTTTATAAATAAATATTTCAGTTTTTCTTATTTTTTTAAATATTTCATATATTTCCAATATTTCCATATATTTCCAATGTTTCAGGAAATATTTCCGAAAATATATTTCTGGAAATTTTACATGACATTTTACACACTGTATTTTATTTATAAAATTAAAGGAAAATAATAATAAAGTTGAATAAATTAAATAATATTTGGCGACATAATTCCGGAAAAAGCCGAACCGATCCGAAATTACCAAAAGCTTAGAGTCGCGACCGTTAGTAGCGCCAAATAGCATTTACACTATCCTTTACATTGGACACTTTCCAATCTAAATTTGTTTCATTTATCTATGCGTCTACCGTGCATGAATACATGGACAACATTATAGTTCCTCCTTAATATTTTTATTCAAAGGTTTGATATAATGAAGTTATTCCACTTTAGAGATTCACACTGTATACTGTTAATTTATTAATATTGCAAGATGTATCAAGAAATATATTGTTCCAAATTTTTATGCACAGCAAAGTGGAACAGGTTTTTGAACCTAAACCAGAAAAGGACACAAGGACAATAATTATTAAAATAATGTTACAAGCCTACCTTTGGTATAACTGGTAAACTGGGCGTTCGGCTTTTGTCGTTGGCAATATAATCTGGCACGTCAGTTCTAGTAGTAAAGTTAAACACGGCAGTGGTGGATTCCTCCACTCGCGGCTTTGGCTTCTTGGGCAACAATATTTTTACCGTACCCTCATCGTTAGTTTTTCTAATGTTTTCACTGACACTTTGCACTGGTTTTAACGCAACGCGATCTATTCTATCCACATCTTTCGTAGATTTTTCCGAAACCGGTGACGTTATTTCCGATGATGACGCGGGTTTGGTGTATTTTGGAGCCGTTTTCACAGTGGTACCCGTTAATTCCGTTATACTTTTCGGTTTGTCTATGTGTTCTGTAACACCACTACCATCAAACGAGTTTTTGCTATTATTACTAAAACCGTTTTGGTTATCACTAGAAACCTCGACACTAACACTACTCGGAATTCCCATTTCCTTTTCGATTTTCTCCAAACTTTCCACGATTTTCCTGATCCCTTTCTTCTCATCCAGTTTCTTCAGCGTTTCATCATCTTTATGAGTGACTTCCTCAACTTCATTCTGGTTGTCTTCGGCTGATTTCAAAGAATTCTTGTGATTCTTCTCGATCTCGATAGCGGATAAACTGCGTTTCATTCGTTGCTCACCACCGGAACCGTTTACTTCAATATTTAGCGGTTCAGAAACAGGAACTTTGTCATCGGAGACATTTTTATTAACAATAGGAAGGTGTTTCTGATCTACTTGAGCGTTGATGAAGTTGAACACGGAAGAGGCTGAGCTTTTGGTGATGTTATTCTGGGAAATCGGAGAGATGAGTTTGATGCCTGGTAGGTCCATTTTGTCTTCGTGTAAGTGATGTTGTTTTGGACTCAGAACAGGACTGACAAATCTGAAACATGTGTATAAAAAAAGTAGTTGAAAAACGTGTTAGGCCAATAAAGTAGTATTTTTAAAAATACATTCAAGTTCATTATATTTAAAAATATTTCTTATACTTAACAGAACTCCATAAGTTCAAAAAAAAACAGGATACATGTTTAAAATCGTTTCATAAACCGACTTTTAATCAGCTAGATATACAGGGTCCGGCAATAGTGCGTCGGGCATCTGTAGCGCCTAGAATAAAAAACTCGGGAATTTTGTTTAAGTGAAAACATAAAGTATGTACTAGGATGTATTTCAGGAAAATATTATAACTTCTATAGGGTGGCTCAAAAAAGTGTGAGTGAATCGGGATTATTTTTTTAAATGGAACCCCTGTATATTGTTGCATTTTTTACTTCCTTTCAGATCACTTTACATAATCCTAAGATATGAGTAAATAAATTTCGATAGTGTCAGAGATATTAATAAATAAATAAAAAAATATATATTTTCAGCCTTTCTTAAAAAAAAATATTAAAAATACAAGAACTGTCGTGAAATCAAAACTATATTAGATATTTGCCTTAGATGGTCTGTACTTACTTTGATATAAACATGGTAATCGCAAATCATACAGGATGTTCAAAATTCTACGCCAAACTTTCTAACAGAGAAAATCATTTTTCTTCGTTTTTTTTTAAATGGAACACCCTGTATATTATTTTTTCAATAGAAGCAGATTTAAAAAATGAACATTTTTTGTATTTAGAGTATTTTAAAATTTTTAACGGTTTCGCAGATATTCGCGGTTTTATATTTCATATGGCATTTTCCACAGTAAATTTTTATCAAAGCGACCCAATGATTTTTCTCTGTTTTACCGTTGAAAGAGTCATATGAAATAATACTGCAAAACCATTAATAATTATGAAATACTTTAAATACAATTTTTTTTTTAATTCTCCATCTAATAAAAAAATAATATATAGGGTGTTCCATTAAAAAAAACAAAGAAAAAGATTTTATATTTTAGAAAGTTTTGCGTAGAATTTTGAACACTCTGTATGATTTAAGATTACAATATTTATAGCAAAGTAATTATAGACCATCTAAAGTAAATACCTAATATAGTTTTGATTTCACGACAGTTCTTGTATTTTTAGTATTTTTTTTAAAGCTGAAAAATATATATTTTTTTATTTATTTATTAATATCTCTGAAACTATCGAAATTTATTTACTCATATCTTAGGATTATGTAAAGTGATCTGAAAGGAAGCAAAAAATGCAACAATATACAGGGTGTTCCATTTAAAAAAATAATCCCGATTCACTGAGACTTTTTTGAGCCACCCTCTAGAAGTTAAATATTTTCCTGAAATACATCCTAGTACATACTTTATGTATGCACCTAAACAAAATTCCCTGGGTTTTTATTCTAGTAGCTACAGATGCCCGACTCACTATTGCCTGACCCTGTATCTTTTTGTTAACATAATCACGTTAAACATTATTAGGTAATTTACCTTTATTTTTTTTCCTTTAAATAATTAATATACTAGTAAATATTATCCAATAAATAATTAATATCCGAATAACAATATTATTTTCTCTATTTTATCTATTTCGATATTTTCTATTTTACGAGGGTGGTCTAAAAAGTTTCCGACCTAATAAAGATACAAGACATTTTTTCTGAATATTTGTTTTTATTCTTCAACATAGTCCCCTTGTAACTCTTTACACACACTTTTCCCAGCGATGCTCCCATCTCTGTATCCCGTCCAAATAGTGGTTCACGAAGGTGATTGCCTCTTCATTTGACGAAAATATCTGTCCTCCGAGCGCAATTTTTAAATGAGGGAACAAAAAGAAATCGCTAGGGGCTAGATCTGGTGAGTAAGGCGGATGGTCAAGCAGTTCAAACCGTAATTCGTGGATTTTCGCCATGGCAACCGCTGAGGTGTGAGACGGTGCGTTATCTTGATGAAACAGGATTTTCTTTTTCTGTAAATGTGGCCGTTTTCCGCAAGTTCTGCTTTTAGCTTGTCAAGTAATGATGCGTAGTATGCTCCTGTGATGGTTTTTCCTTTTTGAAGATAATCAATTAAAATAACTCCATGACTATTTCAAAAAACAGTCGCCATCACTTTCCCAGCCGAAATAACAGTTTTTGCTTTTTTTGGAGCCGGTTCTCCCTTTGCCGTCCACTGTTTGGACTGTATTTTTGTTTCTGGTGTGTAGTGGTGTATCCAAGTTTCATCTACAGTAATAAATCGACGCCAAAACTCGGATTTATTGCGCCTAAACTGCGCCAACATAACGTTGGAAATGTTCATTCGAACACGCTTTTGGTCTAACGTGAGCAAACGCGGCACCCAACGCGCGGACAGCTTTCTCATGCCTAAATCTTGATTTAATATGTGACAAACACGTTCTTTTGATATGTTCATAATCTCTGCTATCTCTCTCTCTTTAATTCGGCGGTCGTCTAGCACCATTTGGTGAACTTTGCCGTTATTATCGTCGGTAGTTACAGTTTTTGGACGTCCCGAACGTTCATCGTCTCCCAAGCGCTTACAGCCACGTTGAAATTCAGCTGCTTAGAGACCCCATACACAGAATCCAACTCATGTTTAATTTGTGTAGGTGTATTGCCTTTCAAAACCAGATATTTAGTGACAGCTCGATACTCGATTTTGTCCATTTTCGCAAAAACACTCACATCAACTCACTCAAACGGCTGTTACATAACAACTGCGCATCCAAAATGGCTGAAATTTTGGTGAATAACTGTCAACAGATGAACAATAAAAATTCACTAGCTTTTATCTACGAGTGCTGCCATCTTCACGTTGAGAACGGAAACTTTTCAGACCATCCTCGTATATATTTCCCGGGCTTAAATTTTAATTGATTTAGTAAAAATGACATATATACAAAAGAAAGACAGACGATTGGTACTGGTCAGTCAATGTCAAAGACAAAGATAATCAGATAGTCGACTGTCGCAGGGGTATCTTCGACAAAAATGAAGCGAATTTATTTATCCACAAAGTTTATAAGACATAAAAGTGTGACAAACGTCATGTGTCACACCAAAATAATAGGAGGAAAAAAACTCTCGAAAAAAGGCTGAGTATCTGAGTAATTCGCAACAGAAACAGATATCTAAAAAATTAAACGCTATTAATAGTAAAATTCCACTGCGTTCAAATCTAAACGAAAAACGATTGTCAGTGGTCCAGTAGATTATTGCTCATAAAAAAGCTGCCTAGTCTGACCCATGACTAACAATTATTTTAATGCGCATATGTCGTTCGTTTATTGTATAATATTTAATGTAATTTATATGAGAAAAAAAAATAAAGACACACTTACCGATTTGTGGCTTCCGGACTAAGAAGAAGCTTAACATCCGCCATAAAATACTCCGGACTGTGTTTCCTAAAGCCCGGCGAAGCGACTTTAGGTAGTGGACTCGACGTCAAAATCAAATCCGGAGTTTCGCATAAATGATTCCTAATACTGTTTCTGGCATCGCCAGTCTCCTGATTCCTTATATCGACTCTGGATACATCCGGAATAGGACTCGGAAGACTGCGTATATCTTTTCTGTTCCTTTTCGAACCTTTCAGGTCCAAAGTCTTCGGTTTGATAATGTCCTCGTTTAAAATGACCGGTTTCGCTACTGGGCGATGGTGATGCTGGTTTTTGTGTTTGTCGTTTGTTGATGACTTAATATGTTTTATAGGAGGTTTGGAAGTTTTAGAGGCCACTTTGGCCTTGACTATGATGTTGTTGAAACTGTCTACTTTAGCAGCAACGTCACCTGTGAAAATAACATTGAGTTAAGAGAGAGATAACTTAAACAAGAATATAGCCGCCCATATACGCAAGCGATTTTCTTCCGCCGCAGTCTATAAAACTAAAGAGTACCCCTTGCTGATGTTGCTTGCATATTTATTTCAATTTACTTGAAATAAAGTGCTTGTGATTATAAAAATTAAATCAAAATTGAAAGCAAATTGGAGGGGAGTAGAGAAATTACAACTGAATTTATTGAGTTACACAAAGAAAGAATATGTCCATGAAAAGTTAAAGATGAAATTTATGTTCATAGGAATTTAAAAAGAGAAGCTTGTGAAGACTTGGTTATTTTTTTTTCTGCTTTAGATATACAGTGTGGGTTTCCTACGATATTCTCTATGGATATCTCGGAAACTACTTGAGATAGAGAGTCGGTTAAATGGGGAAAGAATTGCAGTTTTGTGGGGTCAAAAATATGCACATTTCAGATTTTTGAAAAAGTTCATGTCTTACTAGATATTTTGAAAAAAAAAACAAATTTTGGCTATTTTAAAAATTGTCCCTAATTCCATTATAATCTATTTTAGATAACAAGTTTTCAGATAAAAGTTGTAGATAATCACATCCTTAATGAGTTTGTGTTATCCATTTTTTTCAGTCAGTCATTTTTGACATAGGACACAAACATTTGTTTTTTTAAATAGAAACCATAGTTGGCCATGACTTCATAAAAAGCGCCATTTTTTAAGCTTTTCAGCGATATAAGCTATATGTTTTTTTCGAAAAATTACTGAGTTATAGCCAATTCTTATCTTTCTTGACTAATTTCACTTAGTTGGTATGGTATTCTTAATTTTTATGATTTATAACTTATAAAAAGAGAGAATATATTATTAAACGGTTCTTTAGAATTTACAGCGAGTATCTAAATTTAACGTTTCTAACATGTCTTAAAAACCGTTCTCTAAAAAACGTAAGTAACGTTCACAGATCAACGTATCCTCGAAAATGTATAGCCAAGAAAAGTTGAACCAATAATCCTCCCGCTTTTCTTCATTTAAAAAATTCATATTTCCAATTTTTGTTTATTTTAATTTACAAAGTTTGGAAGTGACAGTTTCACATTTCACGATTGATCTTGTTTCCATGGCTAAGTGACATTTTTTAAAAACGAAAAGAATTGGCTATAACTCAGTAATTTTTCGAAAAAAAAACATATATGAAAAAACAAACGGCGTCAGAGTTGGCTTGGAAATGAAGATCGCTGTTATTTCATATATAAAATATTATGGTAAATAACAAGTCGTTGTTTCCAAGCCAACTAAACGACTTTTTTCGATCATACGAAATATTCAGTACCTATCAAAGAATTTTTATTTTTGTTGTTTATTCTATGTTTAACACGAATAAATTTTGAATACTTAAACGCGGATTTTTCATCCAAAGATATTTTTGTCAAACGTATTACAGATATTACACATTTAAATATCACAACACTGTCGCTTTCGGTTCCACACCGTCTTCGGTATGCCTTCGCTAGCCGAATTAGAGAAAATGACTGTTTTATGCGTTGACCGCAGAACGAGTAGAGGCTCCACCGTACAGCACTTGTCACGAATTCGCCCACTAGGTTGCGTATCTTCCATATATTTATAAAGTACAGTACGTCTGCTGGATCTGTGTCTATGAAAGTAATGCGGACAAAAAACACTTAAATAAACAGCAATATATTTTATACGTCGACTTGACGAGTACGTCACCGCAAATAGCTCCGCCCACTCATTTTATTGGCTACTTGCAAATTTGTCGAATTTTTATTGATGGGACGCGTCGTCTAATTTTTTACGAAAAACATCGAGAGAATATCGTTTCCCCTCTCACGGATACCCCGTAGCTACAGAACGGACAGACGTACCAAAGTACTGTACTGTAACTATATCGACTCCTCTGTGAAGCCGAGCCGGTGAAATGGGTATATAAATCTTCTGTAGGAATTTGCATAGCGACAAGTCGCTGAGTTAAGCGAGCTCAAGCGTAGTGCACAAGCCTGGATTTTGAATTATCGATCGGATAACTAGACCAATAAGAGACTAGACACTAGTATCAGCTGTTCATTCGTTCGCCTTCAGAGTAAGGGCTAATCGATATTCGGAATTTTGGAGTTGCGCTATTGCGCCAGGGCTTGTTGGGCCAGAAAAACTTATGTAAAATATACATGGACCGGTTATCTAGATGTCTCTTACTCGGCTCCAACTCCAACACATTGCAGGGATAGGCGATAATCCATAGAGAGGTAATGGATATACGTATCTTTCCAAACCTTTCAATCAACGATGTAACTTACCCGTTTGTGGAGGCTTCCTAGTCCGTTGTTCTGGTCTTTTCTCGAAAATCATCTTCGTTTGCTTGACCACATCCGCAGGCGGTTTTTCTTTTTCATCCAATAAAGGTGACTTCCACCACGTTCTGTGAGCTCTACCATTCAGTTTGTTGGTAATGTTCTCATCCGCTTTGTGTTCATTTGAACTAGGTCTCGAATTCGTTCTGCCAAAGTGTAGTAATTATATAATTATCCGGAAAACAATAAACAAATATGCCAACAATCTTACTTTAACTTATCTAAGCCGTTGTCTACTTCCTCCACCGGATGGCGCAGCAAAACGTCCTCGTGCAACGACTGTCTGTTGTTAATTTTGGCAGTAACAGACGCTGTCATTGTCAGTTCCTCGTCGTGGCTAACTCGGGAGATGGTTTCGACCGAGCGGGCTCTCTTCATGTCCTGTCTTCTGTTACCGGATCGATAATGATTCAGATGAGACCCTAAACATAATCATTCTTCACTTAGATGCGAGTCTAGTCGAACCATAAATCTTATAGGGCCAGCAAGCGAGGGTTTTAGGGTCCGAATTCTGAACATCTGCGCCGATTGACGTCAAATTTTAACAGTGAATAGAGATATAAAGAAACAAAAATTACATAGTAGCGATGTGAGCTTTCACCCTGGGGGTGAGTGCCACCCCTTCTCGGGGGTGAAAAATAAATCTCTTTAATATTTTCCTAGTTATTTAGGATTAAAAATGTTGATTTTTCATCAAAAAACTGAATATTTTTCTGCCATTTTTTATAAATAACTCGAAAACCTTGCGTTTCATCGCAAAACTCATATAAAGCAAAAATGAAGCTTTTGGAATAACGAATCGATTCATTTTTTGTTGATTACCGTAGGTGTAAAAATTGGCGCCAAGAGGCACGTATAGCCGCCCATACTAAAATATGTAAATATCTCGAAAACTGCGACTTTGACTGATTTTGATGTTATTACAAATTTTGTTGCAAATATTATTCCTAATTTTAATTTGAAAACCGCGTTTCGCTAGCTACTGTAATTTTAGAGTAACGATTTTTAAAAATGTTTAACCCCCTCCCATACCCCCTTACCAACCCCCCACCCCCACCAAAAACTATGGCCAGATTCTCGGGTGCCACAGTATTTTTGTGCCAAATTTGGTTAAAATCGGTTCAGCGGTTTTTGAGTTATCGTGTTACAGACGGCAGACAGACAGACAGACAGACACCATGAAAATATTTTGTATTTAGGTCATTTATGACCCAAATAACTCATTTTGAGTGAAATTAAAAAAACTTTTTTTTGCCGATCCTCTAATAGCCTACCATACCTATTGGTATGGTCGTCTAATAATAGACGAGTTATCACTCTGTGAAAGTGATTTTTTATTTTTCGAAAACTAAATTGCTACATTTCACCGTAAAATAATGGCGAAAGAACAAATTTTTCAAAGAAAATGAAAATGGCCGTTTTAAAGTGCTTAAAAAGACCTTTTAAATGCTTTTTTAAAAATAGTTATGATGATAAAAATAAAATAGTCACCTCATTTTTTTGGAAAAAAATTAACAATAAAATCTATGACTAAAATCATAAAAATAAAAACTAAGCGTAATACATCTACAGTTGGCTATATTTCGGTACTAACAATGGGCTCTGAAAGTTCGAGCGGTTTAGAATGCCAAAGTTTGGAAAAATGTTGAAAACAATGATTTTTTTTATTTTTTAAAATTTTTTATTTTTTTTTGACATATCTCAAAAACTAAGCAAGATACGTAAAAAATGCAACAGAGTAAAATTGGAGGTCTTTTTTTGGCAATATTTTTGCTCTCTTTCAATTGTTCTGTAGTTATCTTTATTTTGTAGATATTACGTTTTTTTAGTTTGACTTGCGTGTAAGGACCACCTTCTTTGAGCCGTTAAAACTCAAAAATCTCGTAAAAATGATGAGTTCAAGCCTGTACAACTATAGAGGTTAATTTGTAGCTCGTGTAATTTCCTACAAATTGACAGTTTTTATTTTTATGATTTTAGTCATAGGTTTTCTTGTTTTTTTTTTCGAAAAAGTGACCATTTTATTTTTATCATAACTCCGCGAGTTTTTGAGCTACGAACTTTTAAAAAAGCATTTAAAAGATCTTTTCAAGCACTCTAAAAACGGTAATATTCATTTTCTTCGAAAAAGTGTATTCTTTCGCCATTATTTTATGGTAAAAGGCTGCAATTTAGTTTTCGAAAAATAAAAAAATCACCTTTACAGGGTGATAACTCGGCTATTATTAGACCTACGGTAATCAACAAAAATGAGCCGATTCGTTATTCCAAAACCTTCATTTTTGCTTTATATGAGTTTCGCGATAAAACTCAAAGTTTTCGAGTTATTTATAAAAAATGGCAGAAAAATATGCAGTTTTTAGATTACAGTTAAGGGTTGGAACCTTTGGTGTTACATAGCAAAATAAAACACTTAATCACACCAAAACACTTTTACTTTTACACTGGACGCGTGTTTCGCTAACCATGTTAGCATCATCATCATCAAGACTCAAGTCTAGATCATCTGCTGATGATATTAACATGGTTAGCGAAACGCGCGTCCAGTGTAAAAGTAAGTGTTTTGGTATATTGTGGCGATTTGGTGTTTTATTTTGCAGTTTTTAGATGAAAAATCAACATTTTCAATCCTAAATAGGAATCGGAAAATATTAATATTCTGAAAAAATGTTATAGAACATTTTTTGCTTAGAATTCATCCCTTATTTGATTTTTGACTCATCCCCAGAGTTAAAGCACACATTGCTACTATGTAACTTTTGTTTCTTACATATACATATCTCTATTCACTGTTAAAATTTCACGTCAATCGGTGCGGGTGTCAAGAATTCGGAGGTAATACCCTATTTTTATCCTCGATTATTACTTAATACCCATAGACTTAAAATAAAATATAGACTGAGCATCTCATTCATAAATAGCTGGAACATGCGGTCAGACACTGTCTTGTTATTGTTGTGTTATTGTTTTAGGTTATAACGAGTGCGACACGAGCGATAGATAGGTTGTCTCTGTCGTAACGGTCGTTCCCTGACGACTCTGCCGAGAAACACAACACTGTCTTTCGTTTCTCAAGTACACCTGAACTCTCCGTATCATAGCCGGGTAATTTTTTTTATTTTAATGAAGCTATAATTAAATTAAAAATATATCGTATTTAAACTTTTTATATTTTATTAAGATTTAGGAGGGTTTTTTTTTTTTAATAAAAGTTTAGAAAAAACGTTTTAGAGTCCAAAAGGATAAAAATTATAAAATACACGTTATAGAAGAAATTTTATAATAGAAATTACGTAATTTTTGAAATTAATAATAAATTATTAATTTTAGTCAAACATTTACAACCCCTAATATTAATCAAAACAGGATCTATTCCACAGATATAATAGAATCGGCGACAGGGAGAGAAAAAATAATATATGATTGTTGTAATTTTTTTTCTGGTTAAGTTATGTCTTATGTAAATTAGAGAAAACATAAATCCAATCCATTAAAGCAAGGAAGGTGATTGGAAGTGGATAAAATGAAAACTACATTTATTTAACTCGGTACTGTCTTTATTATACCGGGTGCGTCCCAAAAATCAAAAATCATGGGGCTCATCCCCATAATTTTTTTATATTTTCAAATAAAAAACTAAGATTTAGTATGTTAGTATATGACATAAATTAGGATTGATTGAAGCATTCAATTGTTTTTGGTCACTTCCTGTTTCATCGGAAATGACTATAACTTTTAATTTTTAAACGGCACCCTTGGTATACTTCTACTTTATTCGATAGAAAATGACACTCTGAATAGAATGACATATGATATGTCAACTTTGACATTTTCGCATATGGTTTAATTGTAATTGTAACACGCGGTTCATAACGACAAGTGTGTGGTATAAATATATTCATAAAAAAATGCTTTTTCCAAATATGCTAACGAGTCACCCTTGTTCCATTTGAAAAAATTGACATATGTAAGATTAAAAATACGATATGTACATCTTTTAACCGACCTAGACAAGACACGAAACCTATTAGCGATCAAAACTATTTTTCCAAGGCTCCTTGATTAAACCTTAGTGTTTTTAACAACACCATGGCACCCTGGATTGAAATTTAAAATACGATTTGTTTTTAAGCGACAATGTCAAAAGTTGACATATGATATGCCATTCTATTCAGAGTATCATTTTTTATCGAATAAAGTAGCAATATACCGAAGGTGCCTTTAAAAATCAAAAGATGTAATCATTTCCGTGAAACAGGAAGATACCAAAAACAATTGAATACGTCAATAAATCCTAATTTATGTCATATACCTACTAACATACAAATCTGTTTTTTTTATCTGAAAAAATAAAAAAGTTATAGGGGCGAGCCACTTTTGAGACGACCCGGTATATTAAAAAATATTGCTTCATAATGTAATATCATTTTAAAATTCTTGTATGTTATTTTAGATTCTCAAGATAATTTTAGAATAAACCGGAATATATTTTTAATAAAAGCATTATTAATTATTAACAGGGTTATAATTATGATTTTGTTACAATGTAAGTAAGTAAATAATGTAATGTAAGAGAAAAAATTCAGATTTTACATTTTACTAAAATATTATCTAAATAAGCGCCTTTCTACAACAACGCCACTTACTCCTAATGGGTATATTGAGAGTTGCCTACCGGTCGAAAGTTGTTTCAAGACTTAAATGGATTATTTAAGTCAAATTTCTTGCAAATTTGGCACTGACGAACCATATTTTATAGTTCTTGAACAGAAAAAGTCAATAAAATAAACAATTAAAGACTACAAGCTAAGAAAATGCGTTAATACAGCCGGGGATATAGCGGCAACAAAGCTTTACCGCACACGTGCGACGCGTACTACAAGGTAATAAATGAATGAATAGGCTCCCTCGCTTCTAATCGGTGTTGTCATATTGTAAAGAACTTATCCTTTTTAAACAGTATCCGACTTATAATTTAGTAGTATAAGGACTATTTAATACATCTATGGAATATTAAAACCTACTTTATTAAACTGTAGTATTAATATCTCAATATATGTGTATAACAAGAAAAAAAATATTGATAATATTAAAGACGTGACAACATAGGCTGGATGAGGAAGGCTCGGTCGACTGTACCCAGAAGTAAACATGTGTACAAAAAATATTGTTTGTCCGCGTTGAGATGTAAATAGTGTAGTCTATATTTTATTTTAAGTCTATGTTAATACCCTATTTTTATCCTCACCTACTCTACTCAAAAATATACACTCACCTCCATCTTTTCCGCCACCTCTCCTCCTAAACAGTCTTTCGTTCTCCTTCTCACCATCCTCGCCCTCATCCTCATCCAAAAGGTTCTCCAAACTGGTCGCCTTCCTCAAAATGGTCGGCCTAGCGTTGCTCTCCCTCAAGGCCAGGCTCAAGTACTTGTTCTTGAGTCGGTTGACGATGCCCGGCCCGTAGTGGAGGTCCTCCGAGTCGGACGATTCCGTCGATTGGTGGTTTTTGTCGAAACCATTTTCGGGCGACTGGCACACCAGCTCGGTTTTCGGATGGGGATGAGAGTGGTGGACTGGGTGGGGTGTGTGATGGTCAATCCAGAGCCGTTCCTGGAAAGAGAAATTAAATATTATTAATAAAATTTACATTACAAGTAACTGTTTTTGAGTATTTTTTGTTAAATTTACATAAGCACCACGAAATATTTATAGTAGCATTTTGACAGAATTGAAACAAAGTTTCGTCACATTTTTCGAACATATGTTTCATAACATAAATCGCTTTTTGTTTTGAAACATTTTACCAAAATATGGTTTCGCTACATAAGCTATAACAATAAAGATCTTAGTGTCACAATTTTTTCGAAACTTTTAAGATTCAGACGTGGCTCACATTTACAGATTTCGTACCCGTTTTGTGCCTGAAAAGTTGCCATAATTTATTTGATATTCTGTCAAATATGAGAACATAACCTAACCGTAACTTTATTGTTTGGATTTTGTTCTGCTTGTTCTATTTTTGCATTTAAGCATTCTTCTAGTTTTTGTAGTACTATGATTAAAAAGCAGAAGGAAGGACATATGGTGAGTACAAATACAGACATTTTTCTTATGCGATTTTATAATTATTTATTATACGCATTACAGAAACGATTTGTCTTAGGAATAAATGTAATAACAGCCACTACCCATACCCAACAGGAGACCGAAGAAACATGTCACCAGCAAACGTTTTTTTCTCTTTTTTCCACAATGGAATACATGTTTTTATGTTTTAATTGTGTTATAATAAGCAAATAAAAATGTTTTAATTATTTTGACCAGAAGTTTTGATTGATTATTGACAGGTGACTAGTTCGAAATTTCCACAAAGATAGCGCTAAATTGAAACATTTTGGAAACAAGGTTTCCATTTTATTGTCGATTCATTTTCGAAACACGAGTTTCTCTCCTTTTAGAGACAAATATGATATAATATAGATGATTACAATTGAAAATTACTTTTTAACGATATATCATGTTCCTATACCTAAACCGTTTAGTTTCTTCAGTAAAGTCATTCAAAAGAATATAATGCTGTTATATTGTTTCATTTAAAGTATCACTTAGGCATTATTTGCTAAATTTTCTAACTGTATGCAATACATATTTAACATATAAATTTCTAGTTATACAGGGTGCGTCTCAAAAGTGACTCGCCCCTATAACTTATTTATTTTTTCACATAAAAAAACGAGATTTGCTATGTTAGTATATGACATAAATTAGGATTGATTGACGTATTCAATTGTTTTTGGTCTCTCGTTTTTTTATCTGAAAAAATAAAAAAGTTATAGGGGTGGGCCACTTTTGAGACGCACCCGGTATATTCCCAAAGCTGTTTACAGGTATATTAACGCACCCGGTATATTGGTTCAGTATAAAGATTAAGATCAATCAGTATGTATATTGATATATAAACAATTTTTAAAATGCCTGCATGAAATTTCATACTTTATATAATAATATATCGTAACAAACCAACCCAAGGTTACTTACATATCAGCAAAATGTAAAATCATACGGTTTCATAAAAAAATATAAATTTTCAAGCGTGCGGACTAGTAACATATTATTAATTAAATTAATTCTGATTAAATTTTGCATAACACGCTGCACAATATGCACATTACAATCACAATAAACAATCATAAATTTTTCATTTTGACAAACACTTACACACGTAAAGATTTTGAAACTATAGGTGATGATTTTTACTAAGACTTACACACATAAAGTTCTTTTTTGAAGTTATTTCCTAATTATTCGGTTATTTTTAAACCTACGATTGTAACATTTAGTTAATGAACAACTTATTTTGAACTTAAATGAAAAGTAAAACTTTTTTTTAACTAAATTATACCAAAATGTTTTCCAAAGTCCAAATAAAAGTATGTTACTGATGTAATAAAAAACCTAATATGATAATTTTGCAATTTGGAACCATTTTACTATCTTTATAAAGTTTAAATTGACTACAATAACAAAACTGCCAAAATCAATTTTCATCACTGTGGACCCCTGGACATAACATACTAAACTATCCAAAGATGTTTGAGCCAAACTGCATCTACGTGACTTAGGCTCATTTAGCACAGGGCTGACATCGGACTTAATTTGATTTTAAAGCGACTATTTTATTTATTGGTACAGATAGCGTAAAACGAGAAAGAGCAAAGTGTAGAACATAAAAAGTCAAGTAACTTGACCAATAACTAAAGAATTGTATAAGGACATGTAACGCCCCTATACGGGCTGCAGCAGAATTTGTGACCTTTTTTTTTGTTTTAGTGGCAAACAATGAGTCATCATTTGGTCACCAGCGACAATTGTAGCGATTTTTAATAGTTTGTGTGTAGTAAACTTTGTATAAACTTTATTACCATGGTGATTAGTTGTTCAGCTTTCAAGAGAGTGTAAAAGCAGCAGCGATAAGAAAGAGCCAGGAGTTACGTTTCATAGGTAAATAAACAGTCCACTCCAACTTTTTAGCGTTTTCTTATTGAATTCGATAATTATTCTTCAATTTCAATTAACATCTTTATGTACTTGATATGTGCTACACGTCGATACTAGTTTTGTACCTTTTGTTAACATTTTAATATGTTTTTTTTACACCATAGGTTAAGCTAGGTTAAGAAAAATATGTGCCACGGCACTGTTTGGTGACATCGTCACAATTTGCTCTCGTGTGTTATTTGTCCTTGGATTCTTTAGTCATTGAACTTGACTATATTATACAGGGTGAGTCTTAAATAAGTGCAAATATTTTCGCAGGGCTGGTAGATTTCGATAAAAGAAACATATTTTCTCTTTGCCATTTTTGAGATAAGTCCAAAATAACCGAGTTATTTAAGTTTGAAAATTAAAAAAAAAATGATTCTTTTTGAAAAAAATTTGAGAGCCACCGGATTTTTTCTGTAATTCCATCCCTTTTAGTGCCGTAACCATTTAGTTGGTTGAGTTAAGCCGTAACTATGGTAATATCAGAGATTAAGATAATATAACGTGGTAAAATTTGCGGTGAACAGGCAGTTCTAAAAAGTTTTCGAAAAATATACAAGGAAATTTAAAAGAAAATGCACAATTTTCGGTATCTTTTTTGCGAAAAAAAACTCATAGATGAGTTCTTGGGATCGAAATATACCAGCCCTGAAAATATTTGCACTTATTTAAGACTCACCCTGTATATCTCAAATATGCCAATTTTGGACTTAACATAGTATGCTTCTAGGGTGCAGATACTATTTTTTTAAATAATAGGTAGTAGGTAGTTAATAAAATATCTAAGTAACTGTAAACCACTTTCAGCAAAATATTTTCTGCGCAATTTTTGTTATGTATGTATGCCAGAAGAACGAACAGGTGGTTTAAGAAACTACACTCTACAAGAAAGGTTTAAGAAACTAACTCTCTACAAGAAATCGTTGACGTTCTATTCAGAACGTCAACGATTTCTTGTAGAGATATGCTTGAGAAATCGTTGACGTTCTATTCAGAACGTCAACGATTTCTTGTAGACGTATCTGTTTTAAAAAGTAAAGTGTTCTCGAATAGTTCAATTTAAATATTTTAAATAGTTCTTTTCTTGATTCTTTATATTTTTTTGCTTCCGACGACGGAAAGAGAAAACTTTCCGAAACGTTAAGCATTTTTTTCTTTGTTAGGCAAATTTTTATTACTGTAAACACAACTTCTGACAAGCAGCGTCCGTTTAGGTTTAACGCCAGAAGTGTTTACAAAAAATAACTATTTTATTTTGTAGATTTTTCTTGCAGTGCAGTGGCGAAAAACCCATAAGGATATTTTTGGATAGATGAATCCGCCACATAAGTATAGACATTTTTTACAATCCTAATTTATTTCACATACTCGTAACATATCAAATCTCGTTTTTTATCTGAAAATCTAAATTAAAAAAGTTATAGGGGTGAGCCACTTTTGAAACACCACCCGGTATAGTAGTAACTACACTTCATTTTTTTTTACACATTATAAAATCACGTAAACATCAATTTAAATTATCGTCTTCATTATGAATGTGCAATTATTTATGCACAATAAAAATACCTTCTTTCATGAAGAATGTTTTTACTGTATTCTTCGTCTTTCTTTACATTATAAATAAACAATTTATAACGCACATTAATAATATAATTGACCGAAGAGGAAAAATAGGAAATAGTTACAGATTCATTGACACAGTCTGCGGGCACTGTACGGTACTTCAGCAGGTGAGTTGTTTTGTTGTGTTCATTACTGAAGTATGAGCGACCAACCGTGGTAGTTCAACGTTATTTAAAAGTATTTTACGTCGCAATATTAAAGTTCGTATAGAAAGGCATTTTGCGACTAGCTATATGTAACAATTGTTTGGAGAAAAATGATTGATGAATGTTGTGCCTTATTATTATTATTATATCAATCAGTGTTTTCTATACCATCCAGAGTGGCGCACCTCATTCGCCTCGGTTGATTATACAAAAACAGAAAGATGTAGAAACAAATATTTTATAGAGTATATGTGGAGGGCAATGTACAGTAGTGGCCAAAATTATAAACTTTTAATATTCTTGAAAATTTTTTTGAAAACTTAAAATTGGCGAGTAGTTTATAATTTATTATTATTGTATTTCACTCAAATATTTGTTTACTATGCATACAATTTTTTATCATTACACTATTGTCAAATGGAAATACATTTTAAATTTTTTGCCGGACAAAAATATAGCAACTATTTTTTGTAAAGATAATATTCAATCATGTTCAGACATTTTGGCGAAATTAAAATGCGGCAATAAAGTATATTTATCGGTAAAACTCTGTCTTCCGAAGTTAGGGATATTATTATTCGACGATTTTTAAATGGCGAAAAACAAGTTCGGATTGCCCAAAGTTTGTTATTAAACAAGTCCGTTATATCACGTATTGTGCAAAAATATGAAGAAACAGAATCGCCGAAAAAAAAAAATACAGGAAGGCCTAGAAAAAACACTTCTCTCAAAAAAAATGTGAAGGCCCGATTGTAGTTTGCTAAAAATTACTGTAACTGGACACATCAACATTGGAAA